TTCACAAGAATGGGATTTTTAAAAATCCAATTCCCAAGAAAGGAGGCCTTCGGTTGTGTTGCAATTCCAGTGTGGAATGTTTTAGTTCTTCTTTGAGGAATTATTTCAGAGGAATGTGTATATTACCTCTAACGTGTTTATTTATTAAAGAAAAACAGAGCTTCCTGGCTCCTTGAAGATATAATTCTGTGCTTGGATTGCAGAGAACAATAGCAAGCACACTTTCTCCTCTTGAGTATACCAGTAGAGGGATGGAGCAAAACTGTAACATAATGAAATCCTCTTTACTTATAACCTAATTAGAAATGTTAAGTGGCCAACAGAGTATGTGGAAATTGGCCAGGCTTCTGTATATTTTCTTCAGGATACTTTGAAACCTCTTTCACCATTTCACAATATTTATAGATTGTGCAATTCAGGTTTAGTAACACTATAGATAGTCAGATGGCTTGGAGAACAAAACAGGAATTACCAGGAACTTAAGTGTCCATGGCACGAGGTACAAGTACATTGTTAGTGATAGTTACAAAAAAATGAGGTGGAAAGTTCAGGGGGAAATGCAGGGTACTTAAAATCAGCTGGGTTTTTTGGTAAATATACTCTAGTATGTTAATCACAACTATTTGGCTTTCCTAAGAGTTATCACTTTTAGTGTGGTCTTCTAAAACTTTAACTATTTTTTTGTTTGTTTGTTTCCACTCCAGTGGTTTTAAATCTAGAGCAAGAGTCTTTTGATTATTTTCTTTTTTAAATTAGATGCTTCAGGGCATGTACCTTCTGCCATACCGACATGGTCAGTGCCCAGGTCATAGGGCTTTTGCTAAAAACCTTTTGGCATACACCGGCAAGCCTTCCTGGTGTGTATGTGTGTACTTTGGGGAAATTACAAACTTTGCAGTGAATGGCTTTTCTTGGTATTGCAGTTGACATTTCCATCTGTAATCATGCCTTAGCTGTGGATAATAATGCTTATCAATTATTGCTTAAATAGGTTATACATTTCTATTTTACAAAACTGTGGAGAGATGGCTATTCCATTTACTGCTCTTCAGCTGGACTGTGAGGATTTTTGCCTTGAATCTGTGACCTCAGAAGAATGGCTCCGAGTCGGACAGCCTTAGATCCAGTGTCCACATGCTAAGCCCAGGGAGTGCCAGACAACTGAGTGACCTCAGAGACTCAGGAGAAAGGAACCGTCTCTTTGGAGATGCAGTTAAGTTATTTTGCAGACACACGAGTGGATTGGCCAGGGAATAACAGAGCTAGCAAGAAAAGAATGAGGACTTCTGAACAAGAGACTGAAGGGCAGGCAGACAGACCACGGCTTTTCACTCTTTGCAGGTGTCCCTTGGGGTCTGCTATGTGTGTGGTACTTTGTCTTACAGGTGCAGAGTAGAAGTCCACTTCTGTAAAAATCTTACCAGCAATCTGAGTAAAGCAAACCTGGACAGAGGTACTGTTAGGCTTAGGGGAACATGCTATCTTCATAGTTTTATTAGGAATGAAAATATGTGGGGTTTTTTTCCCCACTTTAAATATACTATAGAAAAAGCTCATTTGTAAAAATTGGCCTTGTGCTGATGAAAAGGTAGCTATGAAAATATAATGAGAATTGGTGCCCCTTAATTTTTAATGTAACCCACTAGGCTTACAAACACTAAATTGAACTAGCCATTAGGAGTCAAAATTCATAGATAGTTCTAGCCTTTGAAGATTATTTTGTGGGCCAGATGAGATGGTTTGTACCTCCAATTCTAGCACCAGGGTGGTAGAGGCAAGTGAATCAAAAATTCAAGACCATTTTCAGCTGCTTAGCAATACAAGCTTGGGCTACCGGAGAACCCATGTCACAAAGAAAAGAGTTGCTGTTTGAAGTGGCAAGCCAGTACAGGGAGACCCACACCTGTACTATAGTCTGCTGCGTAACTTTTAAAATTCTAAACTCCTGGACGAAGGTTTTCAGTCTGAATTTTTTGGTGTGTGTTTGTTTTTTGTTCTTAATGACTGAAGCAAATATTGCCTTTGTGCTTTCTTTGTCCCAACTTGTGTATGTCATTTGGAGCAATAGTAGATTATGGTTCAATTTATTTTTTGTACTGATCTCTGACAAAGAACTGTGTTATGATCTGAAAGATATTTGTTGATGAGATTCAGTTATACGTAACTTCTGTTCATAATTTTATGATGTGGGCATAAAAGAGGATGAAAGAGCTTCCTTCAGTTTAACAATAGTTTTGTTTTTTGTTTTTTTGTTTTTCGAGACAGGATTTCTCTGTGGCTTTGGAAGCCGTCCTAGCTCTTGTAGACCAGGCTGGCCTCGAACTCACAGAGATCCACCTGCCTCTGCCTCCCAAGTGTTGGGATTAAATGCGTGTGCCACCAACACCTGGCATTTTTTTTTTTAAGATTCTATTTATTATTTATACAACATTCTGCTTCCATGTATATCTGCACACCAGAAGAGGGCACCAGATCTCATAACGGATGGTTGTAAGCCACCATGTGGTTGCTGGGAATTGAACTCAGGACCTCTGGAAGAGCAGCTAGGGCTCTTACCCTCTGAGCCATCTCTGTAGCCCTAACAATAGTTTTAAAACAAGCAAAAATGCATTACCCTCCTTGTTGAAAATTTTACAAACTGCTAATAAATTAAAAAAAAAAAAAAAAACAAGACTGAAGTTTGCAGACAGACTGCCTACTCATCATTGGACTAGAGTTAACACTTTCTTAGGTTACACCTCCACAGTTGGTCAGTGCAGCACTTGTGAGGGGTGTCCACGGGTCCTCTGGTCTTGTCTTGTCAGTGCACAAGTGTGAAACTGGCATTTTAACGCAGGCCCTTATATGCCTAACTATACAGCTTATGAAAAGCTGACCAGATATATCTGCTAATATTCTTATCTTGATTCTATTTGTTAGACAGATAGACAGACACACAGACACAGAGCTACTGAACCTACCAGGAAATTTTGTCTAAAGACCAAGACCAGATGGAAGTTAACTGTAAACATAAAGGGACAGACAAGCTTGTATTAGAGAGTGTAGCTATTAGGTCATTATCCTGCCCTCTCTCCAGTCACCTTTTGTGTTCCATGCTGATGTCTCTTTCCCGAGTTTCTTCTTTGTGTCAACTTTCAGTTATTTTTTGTTTTGAAGTTTCAGGCCCTTGTCCTGCCCACATACCTTGTTGCTGTAGAACCGGAGGTACGCTGAGTGCTTCTTGCCTGTAGAGAGAGTCCATCTGCCTTTCTTGATCACACACCTATGTGAGTCTGCTGACTGCAGCCTCCCGTTCCCATTCCCAAGGGCTCACATGACCACCAGCTGGCGTGTTTAGCAGTGGGTGTTAAGGTCAGCTTTGAGGTAGATTTGACTTTTGGTGTGTTCACCAGGCAGTAGGCAGATGACAAACAGCCACTGACTACAGGAACTGTATCTGTAGCAAGGACCATGCCTCTGCACCCCAGGAATGATGTTTCTGTGAAAGCGAGGGGTTAGGACCAAGGGAAGAGCTGGGTGGCCGCAGAAACACTCAGTAGTGTGAAGTTTTGAGAGAAATGACACAAAGCAAAAGCCAAGCTGGGCAGGAGCAGATTGGACAGGACCCAGGAGTGTGGGCCACCTGTGCACAATAGCCAATTCCTCAGGCGTTTGAGGGAGGTACTCTCCTGTGGACAACAGGGATTTGGGGGTACGTTTGTTACTAGCTTCGTATCCTCTACCCTGATGTCAGCGTCACATCTGTGAACTGGGCCTAATTTGGACTAAGATGACTCTAAATTGTAAGTGACCTAATCGTTCAAACACTGGCTACTGAGTTCCTGTTATATTATAAAGTATTTTATAGGGAAAGGAAATGTAGGGAGCTTCTGTGAAGTTTAGGAAAAGGTAGAGACTGAATCACCCCTTCCCTTCCCAATCCTCGCCTAATTTCTCTACACTCACACCACTTTGTTTCTCTTGCTAATTGTTTTAGTCTATTTAAGACACAGAGTCAAAGCCAGGGCCTCCATTTCTGTCTTTCATTTGCATCCCTATCTGTATTTAGTGTGTTCTCCATCATGATAGTGGTGCTGTGAGGAGAAACCGCAAGACTATATCACACCATTGACCAGATTTAGCGTGTTTCCGTTTTAAACATTCTTTGGCCAGATCTTCATGTCTTGGTCCCCTTCACCAGTGCTGTGGTTCAGGCCCTGAGCTTTCTTCTAGAATCGATCCCCTTTTCAGATTCATTATCTTTCATCAGAAGTGTCTCACTACCATCACAGAGTCCTTGCCAGCTTAGACGGCGGCTAAACTCTCAGGGCCTCAAATGACTGACTGCCGTGAGGTTTTGGTCTGCTGCCAGGCCCGAAGCTGAAGTTTCTCCCACCTAGCTAGTGTCAGCTGTATAGCCTTTCTTTCTCCGTCTTCCCGCTCCTGTTTCCTCAGACCCGCTTTCCTTGTTCTCTTGGCTCCACTGTGTTCAGACAGCTACAGTGCTATTCTGCTCTTTGCCGTGTATGGGAGCCAAGGTTGCTCTGTCCACCGACAGTTAACCAGCTGCCCTAGGCAGGTTGAGGGCAAGCCATAGGCTCTTTGCACTTTCTCTTGATATCTGAAGCTTTTCCTTTTTCTAGTTTTTTAAATGAGAATTGTAAATAGTTTTCTTTTCACTGTAAGCCTGCTGTTGAGGAGAAGCAAACCTATTCACTCGTAGACCAGCTTTTTTGCACTTCTAGCCCATTCAGAGACTGCCGTACTTTGGGAATGGTGCCCCTCTCTTCCTTTCTCCCTCCTTCTTTCCTTTCTTTTTGCCTCTCTATAGTTACTTGGATCTGACTATCCTGAAAGGTAAGGTAGGCGCCCAGTGCCTGTCCCATTAACTTGTGCCACCTGTACTTGCCCCCACACACACAGGCGGTGGGTTCCTCTGAGGCTTTGTTTTTCAGGTGTTGTAGCTGAGAGTTAAGAAAAGCATGGCCTCACCTATGTGCACTTTGCTTTTGGTATTCTAGGTCAGGATGGCTGACAGGGTGGCTTCCGACCTGGTGCCCTACGTCTACATCACACCTTAAAGAAGCTGAAGAGAAAATGTTAAAATGTAAGGTTTTCCTCTTGTAAAGTTACTTAACTATTTACTAAAATAGATCTAATATATTGCATTGTCCGGAGAGAGCGTGTGCGTGCGCACACACAAGTACACACACAGACACACAACACAGGCACACACACACACACACACACACACAATTAAAAAATATTTTTAAAAGAATGGAAAATAAGGCTTTGTTAAAAGTCTTAATATCCTTAAAACCTGTGGAAGACCTTCCTGATATGCCAGACTATATAGTTGAGAGCACATTCTTGTGTTCCAGGGTCTCATTAGTGGAACACAGTCCAGGCTGAACCTAGCAACTGGACCCAGACCTGCTGTGCAGTGGTGGCAGCCTTTGGGCAAGTCACCCTGTTCGGCCTCCCATTCTTTAACTCTGGAATGAGGGGTAGGGTGCTCTTGGCGGTGCCTTTGGATTGTGCCATCGTTACATCCACGTTTGTATTGTCACAGAGTCCTGTAATTTTTTTCTTAATGAGCACTGAAATTGATCCAGACCTCTGGTATTTATTGTACAATTTTGTTCTGATGATAGAATCTACAGGAGTGGGTAAAGTAAGGGCTTCTACTGATGTCTGTCTACACCTGTTCTTCACTCTCTTTACCATCAATGATTTTCTTGTTTGTTCATTTGGCAATTGCAGAGTAAGTGACCATAACTGGTTACATTCTTAGGAATGGTAGTTAGCCCTGTTATGTGGATTTTAACACAATGAATTTCTGTTCCATATACTTGAATGATGTTGCTCTTCACAAAAACTAGCAGAATTTTCATTGTGGTTTACCAAAATAAACTTTTTTCCCCCAAGACAAGGTTTCTTTGTGTAACTAACCCTGGCTGTCCTGGAACTCAAATTCACAGAGATCCACCTGCCTCTGCTAGGATTAAAGGTGTGTGCCACTATCACCCAGTGGTGCTAGATTCTAGATTCCGTGTGTGTGTGTGTGTGTGTGTGTGTGTGTCTAAGAACTGCCTGCTCTGATGTCAGACATGAATGTGAGTGACTGAACATCAGGATGAGCTCTCACTAAATGTTAAAAATAATTTTTATGGGAATTCTCAGGCCCGTTTCAAACACTGAAGAGATCTGGCTCTGGCTCATTTCAAAGCCTGGCTCAGCTCCTCTTCTAGGTGAGGGGTTTCTTTCCAGTTAAGGCAGGGCACCCATCACATCCCTAAATGCACACCGCTTTCTCTCTGCTGCCACCATGAATACAAAACCTAAGTTAGCTCTTTGACAAAGGGAAGAAACATGTGACTGTCCATATTTTGTCTGTCACACATGTATATGCACGGGTGTTTAAGGACATTCCTGGAGTGTAGCTATTCAGTTGATGGTTTATTATCAATCAACTTTAGTTTTACCTTTGACCAACTTGAGGGTTTAAAGTATTTTGTTTTATGTAGTTTTGAACACAAGGGTTTTGATCTATAAAACTGTACTTTTATTTTCTGGGCAATCGCTTGAACTCGGATTGCCTCATGATGAAGTTCTTGCCATGCCCCGTCTCTCACACACACACACACACACACACACACACACACACACACACCGCTTTTTACTAAGCTTTAAATGATCTCGCTCACCGGGTATGTGTTTAGAGTGGATATAGTTACTCCTTCCCCAAGTTCCCGATGACTTTCCATGGTCCTTTCAAGTCTGACTTCAGTCTCAAATGCTAACCTGTGAAGTGCTCTACAAATTCAAAGTAGTATTCTTGTTATTGTCTGCAAAGCTAGGGACCTTAAAATAACAGGGTTAAAGGCCACTAGGCTCTTCTCCAGTTCTAGGCATGTAATGTCCTCATATGATAGAGTGGAGAGAAATCGGGAGGTCATATACTCGAGGCTTTCCTAAGGTAAGTCTTCCCACGTAGTTATAAAACATGGTTAGTTGGATTTGCTTGCTTTAATCAGGTATAGACTCTTTTGGGGTCGATGCAATAAAAGGTGAAATAGCATGACTGAGTTTACCCTGAGAGTGCTTGGAAGCAGCGAGACTGAGTGGAGTGCTCTCTGTCTCCACCAGGTGTCCCCTGCACGTACAAGAAAGAGCCCGTCCGCATATCCAATGGAAACAGAATATGGACACTGATGTTCTCTCACGACATTTCCAGTAAGACACCACTCGTCCTCCTCCACGGCTTTGGAGGAGGTCTTGGACTTTGGGCCCTGAATTTTGAAGATCTAAGCACTGACAGGCCCGTCTATGCCTTTGACCTCTTGGGCTTTGGAAGAAGTAGTCGACCTAGGTTTGACAGCGATGCTGAAGAGGTGGAGAACCAGTTTGTGGAGTCCATTGAGGAGTGGAGGTGTGCCCTCGGGCTGAACAAAATGATCCTGCTTGGACACAACCTTGGAGGGTTCCTGGCCGCTGCTTACTCACTGAAATACCCATCAAGGTAAGTGTCAGTGACAGAGGAGAGGGTCACAGCCTGCGTCCAAGTGTTAGCCTCCAGTTCCTGTTCTTTTTTCTTCATAAATTTTATTTAAATTGGAAATAATTTTATACATTTTATTTAATAGAAATGATTTTGTACATTTGATTTAAATTAGAAACAATCTAATTTCCTTCTCCCTCCCATCAAAATCTGTCATGTCATTTGGGACAAGGCCTAGGCCCTCCCCCTATGGCAACTCTTGTAACACGGATTGTGCAACAAGCCCACACCTACTCTGAAAAGGCCACACCTCCTAGTAGTGCCTCTCTAATGACCAAGCAGTCAAATATGAGCCAATGGAGGCCATTCCTGATCAAATCATCACACAGACGTACCAGAAAGTCTCAATTTAACACCAAAGAAGACAGCTTTATATCTTTGTACATGGAATGCTCTAAATTCTATGGGAACTCCTTCGACCATAAGATCAGGTTGATGCAGCTGGGGCAGAATTACATACAGCTGGCAGGGAGGCACAGGCTAGTGCCCACCTTTTATCCCATCACTTGGGAGGCAGAGGCAGGCGGATCCCTGGTTCCCGTTTTTGGTGGTGACTGTTAGCCTTACACGAGAGACATTCTCTTAAAAGACCCAATAGGTAGACAACCACAACTGGTAACCCACTTTGTAGCTTAAAGGATGATATCAGATTTTGTTGATAGGCTTGACAAAGGACAATATTTTTTATTCATAATGACACAAAATCTAATCTCTTAAGTTCTTTGGGGACAAGGTCTCACTGTATAGCTCTGACTGGCCTGGAGCTTGGTGTGTGGACCAAGATGGCCTCCAATTCACAGAGATCTAGCTGTCTCTTTGTCCCTGGTGCTACAATTAAAGACATGCACCACAGTGCCTGACCTGGTGTAGCTTTAAGCCACCCATAAAAATACTATGGTGTAATTGCTTTTTTCTTTTTTTAACTATAATAATTAAAACTTTGGAACCAGCAGGCTTTTCCAGACTTTTTGCTAAATTATAGTTAAGTTATAAAGGGAAGCAGACTATATCTTTGTGAATGAGCAAATTGTATGAGCTCTGGACTTTAGTTTTTTTCATATAGTGTACCTTTCATGGGTTTTGACTATATCATTCCCTGAATGTTTTCATTACAGAGCCTTTAAATAATCATTTTGAGACAGGACCTTTTGGATTGCTAACTTACCATGGACCCATGCTGACCTCCAGCTTCCAACTCGAGCCTTTCGGGATTGTAGACTTAACCCACCATGCTCAGGAGGCACTGTTTTTCAGTCCTTGAATTAGTGGCCATTTTGCTTTAGAATCTTTCTACTGTTTTTCTTTCACTGTTTCTTATGACACTGGTTTTCCATCAGAAGTCGCATTTTAGTCCAAAGAAAATAAAAGGAAAAGTTTTTATCTCCGTTTGAGCTTTGTTTGTAGAGGAGAGTGTCAGCGTTTCTGTGTTGCTGGTGAATTTTTCCACTGGACTGTTTTTTAAATCTAGAATTAAAGAGGTGATGGACGTTGAGAATTGTGGGTGAAGCACTCTGATGGTCACTTTCAGAGTGTCTGTCCCCATCCACAAGGCCACTCTGTTTCACAGCTGCTGGTATGGGGTCTGCACAGTGGAACAGGATACTGTGTTTGCCTCTGCCATGGTTCCTTTTCTCCAAAGATTCAGTGTGTCAACTTTAGCCTTTGTACCCAAGTTTTCTGGTGGATTCAAAACTCTTTATATGCTTGACAGAGATAGTCCTGTCACCCAGAAGACCTGTTCATTAAAACATCAACAAAACCTGTCACATTTTTTTTTCTTGGTGGGCATTTTAAGTCCATTTTTTAATTGCATCCTACTCACGGCAACAGAAACTTAATGATATTTGTGAGAGATAGAGGAAAGGCGTAGTGGAGACAGCTGAGCTGCTTGGGGTTTGACTCCCTGTGTGTGTTATGGCGTCTCTGGAGCTAGGACATGAGGCTATGGGCTGGACTGTCATCAACTCTACGTTGCAAACCCTCAACCCTTTATAGGTAGCTACTGACTAGGAGAACTGGAGAAACTTTCACTTGCAGTAGTGAAACGCTCTGAAGAAGCAGAACTTGGCAAATGCTGAAAATCCATCTGTGGAGAGAAGAGCAACAGCTGATCCCTCATAGTGCCGGCTGCACTTCAGACAGTGCATTATGGGTGTGGGAGCCAGAAACCACTAAGTAGTGGTCATAAGTGGAGTGTGTCTAAATTCCTATTCTTACTATCACAGGGTTGGACGACACCCCAAAACTGTATCCATCCATCCGCCTCCTTCCCTCCCTCTCTCTCTCTTTCTAGATTTATTTTATTTTATTTGGGTTTGGTTTGGTTTTGAGATTAGGATTTCTAATAGTCTTGGCTATCCTGGAATTAGCTGCTTAAACCAAGCTGGCCTTGAACTCACAGAGATCTGCCTGCCTCTGCTTCCCAGTTCCTGGGATCGAAGTTGTGTGTCACTATTCCTGACTTAATCATATTTTTTTTAAACTCATACTTTTGACTTCATAACATTGATTAGACACGGGTGCATATTTCCAAGTGCCCCTGCCCATCAGAGCCATTTTGCAGCCTTCCTGTGGCAGTGTTCCTGCCGGCTGATAAAAGCTGTGTGCTGTGCCCTTGACTCCTTGTGATGACTCCTCGGGTCTTCCATGAAGCATTGGTGATGAATGGAGTGTCCAATAGTGTATTCTAGGAGATTGGCTGTTGACTGATCTTCAGTGACTGTGTTTGTTGGGGAGGGCATTTTGTTTTAATTCCCTTCTTTAAAATGTCGGAAGAAGCACCTGAGCTCTGTGCACACTATAAACTGGTGGTTGGAGTCACAGCGGTATTTCCCCAGATGCTATTCATCACACCCTCCCTAAGGAATGCGTCAGAGTTCACCACACCTTGTTGGTGTGTAGATATATATGCCCAGTTGTGCTGTGCACAGGGGGAAGGAGGCTCTGGGCCATGTGTGCATGTGTACTGGAGTGGCGCTTTCAATACCCACACAGGGCTCTGCCCCTGGGATGAGTGTTATGGTGGGGGACACGGACAGTGCTGTGAGAACCTGATCTAGTCTCTGCTTCAATGATGGTCTAAAGAAATATTTCTTGATCTAAGATCTAAAAGAGGACTACTGGGTGGCAGGGGATTATTACAGTCAATGGGCATATGTTTCAAAGGCCCATGCTAGCAGGCACCGGTGCTGTTTAGGAAAGGCCAGTGGGCAGAGAAGTTACGGGCTAGCTAATAGAGGACTCCAATGAAGGCACGGCCCCTCGTTCCTTCCCACGCAGCAACCTCAGTTCATCCCAACTTTTTTTAAACTCGTGTGTGATGAGTGGAGATGCCCCCTGGAATTTTGTTAGTAGATTCATATGATGGGTCACAAATAGAGCTACTTGCTGCTTGAGGAATCTTGAGCTGTCTTCCCTTAGCAAGAGTGAAGCTAGCCAGTGTTGGTAGCCAAGATGCTTGCCCCTTCCTCTCAACTGTTCAGATTTTGCTTTTAGAGCTCCTTCCTTTGTGAAGAAACGTCTGTGTTGCAGGTATTTGCTACACACTAAGAAAAAGGATATGATACACGCTTAGAAGGTTGTATGGAACCTATGTAGTATGATACATAAGGGGGGGGGGGGGGGGGGGGGGGGGGACCTGGAGGCCACTCTGGAACACATAATGGGATCTTGTCTCAAAAGAGAAACAAGTAGAAAGGGACTAGCAAAAAGACCCACCCTAGGTTATAACAGCATGTTAGAACTTGTCTCCACTAACAAAGACTTTTGGACAATACTATCTTGAGTCCCGTCCCTACTGCCCTTGCCTGACTGCTTCCTGACAATGCAGGCCTGGGCTGAGCATCTTCTTGGCTCCTCTTAAGAATTGCGATTGGCCTGGAACTGAAGTGCTTTGGTGGTTTCAGGTCCTTTCTCCTCAGTGGTGTGGTGCCAACAGGAAATACCCCAGGCTACCCTCCAGTCTGAGAGTGCTCCTTTATGTAGACTGGAATTCTTTGTAGTCATATTCTTTGCTCCTTTCCTTGTTTCAAGGAGGCCCTGTAAATTTCCTGGTGCATTTCAGTTCTGGGACTGATTGTTCTGGCTGTATCATTCTCGCTGGCAGCTGACCGAATCTATAAAAATCAAGTGTGTGTAGTCATGTGCTCATTTAGACAGAACACCGTCTCATCCCAGTGAAGCTGTGACCCATTGCTTTGCCCTGAAAGGTGTAAGCTGTTTATGTGACTACCGTCAAGAAGAATGCCTTTTTTTTTTTTTTTCCTGACACTGATGGGCTGTTGTCATATTCCTGCTCTTCTGGTTCTTCATTTGTCCTGTAGTTTAATCACACTCTAGTTCTTGAGGAAGATGTCGTCTGATAGGATGACTCACTCCTTACCCTATATTTAAGCTGACAGGCCTGTCGGTGGGGCTAGGACAGTGGCTGAGGTCTGTAATCTTAGCTTTCAGGAGGCAGAGAGGCAGGGGGAGCACTACAAACGTGAGGCTGGCCCAGGCTACACAGTGTCTTCAAAAGAGAGCAAATAAAAATTTAAAAGCCCTCCAGTGGAATAAATTTTGCTGCGATAGCTTCCATCACAGAATTCTTACCATGGTAGCCACCAAGTGCAATGCTTTTGTGTGGTCTGTTGTATTGAAAAGGCTTCCAGTGAAAAACAAGGCCATTATTTTGTGAGGGCTTTTTCGTGTAGCTAAAGTGGATGCAGTCTAACTACATTTCTGATGTTGGAGGCTTTAAAACTTTATTTTAAAACATCGTTTTCTGTAAGTGTTGTAAAGAGTGTGTGTGTGTGTGTGTAGGGGGATGAATATTCATGCTTGTTGTATTTTTCAGTTCCAAATAATACATGTTTTTTTGAAAATAATATTGGCTTTTGGCCCTCTGTAATAACTTCTAAGTTTTATCATAACAAGCAGCAATATGATCCAGTACCATCTGGGGGACCACAACATCCAAACTAGACAAAGATGGCACTGTAGAACATTTGAATGTTGTTACTAAGAACCAAAACCAGACTTGCAAATGCTTACCAAGCACCTGCCACTTTTGCCATGCTGAAGACAGGCTTGAACAATCCTCGGTCAATTTAATACTTTTCAAAAACAAAAAAATCCAAGTTCTTCACCCTGGTTTATATATTTTACAAATTTTTTTTTTTTTTTTTTTTTTTTTTTTTTTTTTTTTTTTGGTTTTTCGAGACAGGGTTTCTCTGTGTGGCTTTGGAGGCTGTCCTAGTACTCGTTCTGTAGACCAGGCTGGCCTCAAACTCACAGAGATCCGCCTGACTCTGCCTCCCGAGTGCTGGGATTAAAGGCGTGCGCCACCAACGCCCGGCCTGCAAAATGTATTCAGCCAACACTTTCCAGGGGATGATATTTTGAAAAGTATATTAAGCAAGACAAGCAGAAACAACGGTCCCTTACCTAGAGCAAAGTGAGACTTTTCTTCAATCATACACAATGGGTGTTTAAATAAAGAGCTCGTTTGTTTGGGAGCTAGGTCAGTAGTGAATATTGCTAGCTGTTTCCTTCCATTATGTTTGCTGTTTTCAGGAAGGTGGCCACTCCATTAATTCTCGTGCTGGCATGTCACTCCCACTATCTAAATTTAAAGGACTGTGCCATTTTATTTTCAGAAAGAAAATTTCCAATATTTTTCTCGTACACTATTAAAAACATTTTTAAAACTTTTAGTTTGAAAACACACTAAGTATGCACAACTGTCATGTGCCACACAACCCTCTCCAAATCCATAGTTCTGTCCCACAAAGGGTCTCAGGGCTATACAGCTTAGAAGCCAGTTTGAAATGGCTGAGGTAAACTAAAACTTATGTTCTGTTGCTGTGGATACTTGAGGAATGGAAGCCTGCCTGGTGAGCAGTTGTCCTCTGTGAGTGCACTAGAGTGGGAAATGAGGCTCAGCCCTATTCTGCATTGACAACCGCTGCTGCACGCTGGAGCATGCCCACTGTGTGCCTCAGCTTCCTTCCCGCTGTGATGAGAGGTTAGAAGATTTTCTCCTGTGCTCAGTCCTAAAGCTTTCTGTTTGGAAAAAATGCCAAGTAAGAATTGCTATTCATCTCTTTATGTGCTGACAAAAATAATAAAGCAGATTTTTATGTTAGGAATAAAACCCTGTGAACAGTTTCAGTTGCTTTGCCACTGCTTCAGGTATGCCTGGGAAGGCTGTCAGAGACATGTCGTCTCATTCTGGGGTTACCTGGCATTGGGTGACTGCCATGGTTACAGCTGGAAATGCTCTTGTGGTGGGTGTGCTTCAGTTACAATCTTTATGATGACTAGAAGAAATTACACCTGTCACATGGCAGCAATGCACAGTTCTGTTTTTTCTTTATCAGGATGGGTTTCCTAAGTCAGGAATTACATCTGTTAATGGGGGAATGAATCTACTTTGTATGAAATTGAAATGAAAACGTTGGCTAGTAAAGAAGTTGTTTGGGAATGAATTAGGAAGAGAATTATGGCTAGTATATCATGATGTCATGAGTGGAGTAGATAGACTTGTTCATTTCACCACGTCCCAAAATAAAATGTATTTTGTTAGCCCGTGTTACATTATTGTCATGTTTGTGGGGGAAATCCTAACTTGCCTACAAGAGATTAACCATCCCATGAGTGTAGTGTTGGCCTGGAGATGCACAGATCCACTGTGCTCTTCACAGTGGTCAGTGACAGGTGTCCTGCAGAGGGCCCTTCCTCTCCCTCACTTTGCCCTCTCCTCTCTCTTTGCTTTTTAGGATCACAGTCATATCTTCTCCTTTGGTGTGCCTTTTGCCACCCAAGTATACATAAAAGCAAAGCCTTCTCTTTAGCATAAACCCCTCAACTCTTTCCAGTCGTAAAAGTTGACAGCAAAAGCAAGATATAGCCTGGTTAACAACTAGTCTTCCGCCGGGCAGTGGTGGCACATGCCATTAGTCCCAGCACTTGGGAGGCAAAGGCAGGCGGATCTCTGTGAGTTCGTGACCAGCCTGGTTTAAAAGAGCTAGTTAGGGCAGCCTCCAAAGCCACAGAGAAACCCTGTCTCAAAAAACCCAAAAGAAAACAAACAAACAAACAAAAAACACTAGTCTTCCATTTAAGGGGTTCAGTCCACCTTGAGCTTGTTCAGTTAGCACTTTACAGTTAAAGGGTGAATTTACCAAATGAACTTAAGTCTGTTTTGTTTGTTTTTTGCCCTCAACAGGGTTAGTCACCTCATTTTAGTAGAGCCATGGGGTTTCCCTGAGCGACCCGATCTGGCTGATCAAGAAAGACCAATTCCAGTTTGGATCAGAGCCCTGGGAGCAGCTTTGACTCCCTTTAACCCTTTGGCTGGCCTCAGGATTGCAGGGCCTTTTGGTGAGTATTCATGTCCTGGGAAAGAACAGAGTTGATAACTGAACAGAAGAAGAGCACCTGCTTCCTCCACTTGGGATAGGACAGTGCTGTATCCCATTAAAGCCATCAACAGCTCAGAGTACTGACCTGACACCATGGGGGCAGTGGTAGCATAGTATGCTATAGAGCCCTGGCAGATGTCTGGTCAAGAGGGTCACTGTCACTTCCTGTCATCACAAGAGTCTGGTTCCGCACGTCAGCCCAGGAAACCATCAAAATTCAAAATATGATTTTAACTGAGCACCCATTGCTCCTTTATGGTCCTAAGTCATACATAGGGGACCATCTGTGCATACTGATGTTGACCATTGTTAGTTAAAGCCATGAATAAATCAGAGCTCCTACTTTTTCTGATTCTCCCCTAATAGTAAGATGAAGCCAACCACTTTCCTTGGGAGGGAGCTTTTGTATTGTAGAACATTATGAGTAATGAGCAAAGCAGGGGCAGAGGGAACACTGGGGATGAGGGAGGTCAGTCTCAGCAGCCTAAACCCAAGCAAACCTAAGCAGTGTCGGATGGGGCGAGAGTGATCATTTGAGAGTATGTGGCTACCAGTGAGAATTAAGCAGTAGAGCACAAAACTTAATTGCCCATGGAGCTGACCAGTGTCGCCACACTCAGAATTCTTCTCTCTTCCTCCATGTCAGTGTGGTGGAAGGTAAAACCATGCTTTGCATACACACTCTGGGGCCTCCTGATTATTTATTTACTGTGAATATTGGTGTTGAGACTCTCAGCTCTTAGCTCTCACAGCTACAGAAACCCCTCTCCTTATCGACTCAGTTGGGAATGACTGTTGATGTATGTTTTCTGGCCTGGCAGGGGTCCCACCGCCCTGGAGCCCCAAATAAACACATGTACACACCATATTAATTATGAAACTGTCGGCCGATGACTAGGGCTTCTTATTATCTAGCTCTGTCTTAATTATTAACCCATTTCTATTAATGTAAATATTCCCATGTGGTCTTATCCTACTGGAGAAGGGTCCAGACCTCCTACTCCTTCCGCCACTACATGGGAACTGCTAAGCCTCTCTGCAGGGAAGATAGCAATTTCCTGTTTGTCCCTGCTTATATCCTGTTTCTGCCTAGCTACATCACTTCCTGTCTGTCTATACAGACCTCTATGGTTCGCTAATGGCAAGCTCCATTATCTGACTCCCGACAGGCTTTATTTGTGCAAGAAAGATATCACCACAGGAGTGATAAGAGGCCATAGGGTTAAACTGGTAAGCATGTTGCACTTCTCCAGGGCTCATTCAGGTATGGTTTCTCCTCCCGTCAGTCTTCAGTCTCTCGAAAACCCCTCCTTCCTGGATACCATCTGCCCTCTGATAAGCTCCGTGGACACTCATGAGCAGATCGTGTTACAGACGCACAAATGACAACTAGGGGAAAAGGAGAGTGAGAAAAGAAACTAGAAGGCTGTCCTCGTGAATTTCCCCATCACTGACCAAACACTTGACTAAAACAGAGGGCAGAGGCTCGGTATTAATTCAGTTTCAGGGGCTTTGGGATTGTCACCCTCGTAACTGGGAAGGAATGCACGTCAGGGTGGTGGAGGCCGTTGACGTCCTTCAAATCAGGAAGCACCCTTTCTAGCGGCCTGCCCCCACCAGCTAGGGCCTGCCTCAATTCTCTGTCGCCTCCCGAAACAGTGCCATCGGCTACACACACTTGGAACCCAAGCCTACTGTCAACAACGTTTCAGGTTCAAACCATCACAGGTAGTGACAGTGAGGGAAGGTAAGAGGAGAGGATGTAGTGCCAGCTCTGGCTTCTGCTGCCGCTCGTGCTCGGACACGGCCGAGGTGACCCAGGAAATCATGTCCTTCAGAAGCAGCAAAGAAGAGCCAAGCCAAGAAGGAGCATCTTGCCAGAATAGTGAGCAGTGATTGATCCAGTAGAAAACAGCCAGTGCTAGAGGCCAACTCCACAGGTGTGCCCCAAGAGGCTCTGCTCTTCTTTTTGTTTTCCTTGAGGCCCTGTGCCATCAGTATGACTCAGGAAGGAATATCCCATTGTCCAAACAGAAGTTTTGAGTTTATTTTATCATAAAGGGAGAAAAATACATATCTTCTGGTTTGCTTATAACATATTGTTATTATGGAGGAAAAAAGATGATAAGCCAATAATGTGATTTTATGTATAGGCTGCTCTATTCAATGACCTCAAATTTATTCTACAAAAACAAGTCCTAGGAAATTAACATATTTGGAGCTTCTAAAGCACACCTGTAGGTCATCGTAGAACACCCTTCAAGTCTCTTCTCTCATTTGTCCTTGGAGAACTTGAGAGCATCTTTCAGGATATATGCTTTTTTCCAATCTAAAATACATATTTAAAAACATGTATAGATGTAAGTACATAGCACTTACAATACAAGCACACTATTTTTTATGCTATTAGTTAACTTAGAAGATACGCGTTTTTATTTTCTGTCAAATAGGGTTAAGTCTAGTGCAGCGTTTAAGGCCTGATTTCAAACGGAAGTACTCCTCTATGTTTGAAGATGACACTGTAACGGAGTACATCTACCACTGTAACGTACAGACCCCAAGGTAAGGTTTGTGATTCTAAATTTTTTCTCATGTTTATTAGGTCAGGGACATTGTGGCTTCATAGGGAGCTTGAAGCCAGCCTGGGATACAAAGCAAGCACAATGACTCCTAAGCCCAGTTTAAGGCTGACTCGGCAGTTCTAGGCTGCATCAGTGACAGATGCTTGAGACAGTCCTAATAGGTGTAGGCCAGGGGTGAATACTGTAAGGTCCTGCCACATGACTCATCAGACAGACCTGGGGCAAGGCCAAGGTGCTCACCAGCCTCCTCCTGCGCTCCCTGTTAGCAAGTTAGGCCCAGGGAAACCATTGGTGGGTGGGGCTGCAGCAGCAGTGTTAAAGGAGGCTAGATCCTCTGTCAGAGGAGCTGGAGGCTCCTAACCACAAGAGATCACAGTTTGTGAAGATCTGCTGTCATCACTTGCTCAGCAGTCTCTAGGGGCTTCTGCCGAGCGCCCGTTACTCCCAGCTAACGTTTCTTAGTTAGAATTAGAAGAAAACTTTGAGTTAGCTACATTATACTACAGCTTTGTTTATCTAGTAGCAGTAATGTATGGATTTCCCCCTTACATTTTCTAGTAAATTGTTTGAAAGTTTCAGTAAACACTTTTCTTAAATGCTGGGAAGTCAAACGTGAGTATGTTCTGACTGGTGAGACTGCAGTGCAGATTCACACCCCAAGATCATGCCTCTCCTCTCTGCAGCGGTGAGACAGCCTTCAAAAACATGACGATTCCTTATGGGTGGGCAAAGCGGCCAATGCTTCAGCGGATAGGAGACTTGCATCCTGACATTCCAGTTTCTGTGATCTTTGGCGCCCGATCCTGTATAGATGGCAACTCTGGTACCAGCATCCAGTCACTGCGACCGAAGTCCTATGTGAAGACTATAGTAAGTATGGGGCTGGCCTTGTCTTTCACTCACAGTGAGGTTCTCAGGTTTGGGCTCCACTCACAGCCCCATTCAGAGACCTGATGTCACAGGGATGCGGGTGGGTTTGAGCCACATATGTTTACGTCCCAGTAGTGAATCACCTTCCCAAGAGCCTTCCCAGTCTGTGGGGACACTGAAAGACTGGTCCAGTATCATACAGGCTCCCACCAACTCCCAGAGCAGTGCACACAGTTGGCTTGCTTACTGGCTCCCGTGTTGGCCCTGGAGTGGAGTTACTAAGATTCAGGAGGTTTTCCTGTTTATCCCAAAGCCTTCTGATGCAGATCCTTGGTAGTTTGCGGGTGAGTTCCACTCCTCTTTTTAAGGCTCTTGTGTCTGAGCACTGTTGCTTACCCTCTGCTGTGTTTCGCTCACTGGCTGTGCCTGCTCTTCCTTCCCAGGCCATCCTAGGGGCAGGGCATTACGTGTACGCAGATCAGCCAGAAGAGTTCAACCAGAAAGTCAAGGAGATCTGCCACATGGTAGACCGAGCTGCGTGGGGCACCTGTGACTGATGCCATTTTCGAGCAATTTCCTACAACCACGGGAAGAGTAAGAAGTACAACTCAAGAACCAGGCAGTCTCCTGGACTGGACTCGGCACCATTTCCTTATGAAGTCACTTCCACATTTAAACCAATTAGTGCCTTCTAGAATAATGGCTTTCCTTTCTCCTACACAAGATTGAAATACACAAAAGTCTTCCGATTTAATAGTAGCCTTAAATAAAGGTTATTTGTCCTTCTGGTGTACTCAAAAATTGTGGTTTTTCAGCTGAGACTTTTCTGATTTTTACCTAACTTTGCTAGTTAGCTTCTTTTCATATTTCGGTCTATATGCCAAATTTAACTAAGTGACTTCTGGGTCTGTCATCTTAAATGCTACAAAGGTGCACTTTGTTTTGTTTGCATGTATTTACTATCTCTAACAACTAACATAGTTAATCCAAGTATTTTTAAGTAAAAAAAAAAAATTCAATTTAGAATACTTCATTTTTGAAATGGAGTTTAGAATATTTCATTTTGAAATGGAATAAAAGGGTAAGTTTTGATTAAAAAGATGGGAGTTGATCACTAGCACTAACTCCTCTGGTTTTCCTGTTTAATATTTAAGGCTGCAAAGCTGTGCTCAGCATTTTTAGTGTGCTCCATGATGACACTGCACACTCCTTGGAACCCTCTGTGTGTGATCTAGTTCTAGGGTCTATGAAATGTTACAGACCTACTCAGTGATTCAGGTACTGAGAAGCCTGAACCCAAAGTCTGTCCCCTTTACTTCCTGTGAATGCTGTTCTTTTCCAGGAACCAGGATATAGTGAATGAACAGGTTTCTTCCCTTACAGGGCTATAAAGACTGTTGTTGCCTTCTAGTAAACCAAGTCATACTGTGTTTCCATGAACAACTAACGTATACGGTGCTTAAACTGGATTACATTTTTACCACTAACATTTAAAATTAAGTGGTGCTGTCATGTCTCACGGCACCAGAAATGAGCTAGAATGTGTGTTTATTTTTTATCGATTATTATGTTAATCTAATCATTTATATGCTTGAATCAAGATTATTAAAAAAATCTATAATGTTGTTTGAATTGTCTGGCAGAAACCACCATTGAATTTATAACTTTCTCACAGTTTTAAAATGAGGGAAACTTGGAAACTATGAAAAAGCTCTGTATGGTAGCCGGATGCTGTGAAAGTCCCCTATACAGAAAACAAAGAGGGTGTCACCAGCATTGTCTGTCCAGGACAAAAGCAGGCCACACAGGTCAAAAACTGGACAGCACGAACCATGGGCTTGGTGATTTGGGCTATTGCATTTTTAGTGGCTAATTAGGATTTTTTTGAAAATGTAAGATTATATCACAGTTAATTAACTGTCAGAAACATGAACTGTTGTGTTTTCAACGTCCTTACTGACAGGAGAATGTGTAAATTATACTGAGGCTGGAGAAGCAGCTTCCCAGTGACCCTTTATCAGACTTGTCCGATGAACTAGGTTAGACGAGAAACCAACATGAGACCAGAGAGGGGCTTGCTTTCTTCTCTACCTGAGAATAATAGCCTTGCCTTGGCAAGGCCAAATTCAGACTTGACATTGGTGTAAGATCTGGGCAGCACTTTTGTTTGACATGCCCAGTGTCAGTCAGCCTCTGCTGGCTGGAAGAGAGAGTTTCTACCCAAACGTCAAGTGAAGCTGTCCTTCCTACCAACTGCTTGGCTCTGTTGGAAATGTGATGCTTCTTAAAACAACTCTTCCTTGGTCCATGTGATTTTGTAAAGATCGAAGCAGAGGAGTTTATTATAATCTGAGAGTTCTTGAGAATACAATGGCTGCTAAATGTTTTTCTTATAAAAGGCCTCTTAACTATATTTGATCTTTGCTAAGTTATTTGTACCTTTGCCTTATCTTACAGAATAAACTTGACAGTGCAAGCACCAGTGGGGCAGCTGTGTGTTTTCTTGACTCTTTGACGTGGGCCCATCTGTTAGAACAGTTACGATAGGACCATGGTCCAGTGGTGTTCTATCAACACTGTGGTTCAGACGGCTGGCTGCTCTGCACTGTGCTGGTTTTGTGGCCACTGTACACAGCTTCACTCACACCCATGCAGGTCCTTGAAGTGGTTCTCGTTCTCTTGTCAGAACTCTTGGGAAATGTCTTCATTCCTGTGTGTCTTTGATCAAACAGCCATGCCAGGTTGCAGGCAGTACACTTGTACCAAGTATAGGGAATAAGAGCCCCAGAGGAGAGAAGTGGGCACGAAAGGGTGACCGATGGGGTAACAGCTACAGACAGCAAGTCCAAGCTGTTGACAAAGGAAACATCTCATCGGTGGGGACACACTTCAGACAGTACAAGTGTGGATAGCCACGTGAAAATTAAAGCAGAATCTGTTTCTCTTGTGTACAGGGATGAAGTCTGCATGGATCAATAACCCAGTTAGAAGAGAAAAAGCCTCTGAGAAGTGTAGAATTAAAAGTCTGAAACCAAACACGGTGCCCCAGCTTTAACGAGATCACTATAGTAATTTTCCCTGCTGCTGGGACAAAATATGGGACAGGAGCAGCTGGGACAAGAAGGAATTATTTCATCTTAGCTTCCTAGTACACAGGGTGTAGCGATATCCAGGGTGGTAGGGGCAGCAGGCTACTCGTTCATATCTCATGTCGCTGATCAGCGAGGAAGCAGAATGCTCAGGCAGGGATCAGAGCTGGCTCTCACCCTTTAGCATTGGCCCTCCATCCACCAGCTATGGCCAGAAGCTGCCAGCTGAGGACCAAGTACATATCTAGATCAGTAACAGCCGCCAGCTGGCCAGGCAGACATCTATATCAATAACAGCCGTGCACTGGACTGTTATACAAATCCTATGAATGGGAAGATCTGTAAGTGGCTATATAGAACATTTCTAAAACATCAAATTTTGAAAACCAGAAAAATGCAGACTATTACATGTATATGTATGCAGGCACACCAAAATATGTGCATGCATACAGAATAGTGTGTGTCTGAAGTTCCTTAAAGTTATGTTTAACACATATGCTCATAGATATGTATAGATAGTTTTTGGAAGAAAAATGTGTATTTGAGTTTGTTAACAGTGGTTAGCTTTGAAGGAGGACGATTCTGTTTATATATATATAAACTTTGGAGCCTTGTACACTCATCATGTTTTAATAAAAGCCACATAAAATACAGAGAGGAAATCTTACTTACTATAAAATAGCTAAGAAAGTAACTATGGGCCCAGCGTTGGTGTCTCACTCCTTTGACAGCACTGGGGAGGCAGAGGCAGGCGGATCTCTGTGAGTTCAAGGCCAGCCTGGTCTACAAAGCAAGTTCCAGGACAACCTCCAAAGCAATACAGAGAAACCCTGTGTCAAACAATCAAAACAAAACAAAACAAAAAACAACAAAAAGCCAGAAAGTAACTATGGAATTTTAGTGGCCATGTTGACTTTGTATGGCCATGTAGATCCATATTGGGGCCAAGGGTCAGATTCAGTGTGTGGAAGGCTGTATGCCAGTTACTAAAACTTGAAGCTATGGAGTCATAACTTGGAGGCACAAAAAGCTTTCTGTTGTTTTGAAACAGGATCTTGCTGGGCCACCCCGGGCTAGCCTCAAAATTCATGATTCCTCTGCCTCTACCTCCCAAATGTTGGAACTGCAGGCACGTGCTAACACACCTGCCCCACTTTCTTGACTGAAACTTGCTGAAAGGGTCCCTGGCACTAGAATACACATTTCTCTACATTACGATTTATTTCTTGAGCAGGGGATGTAGCTCACTGTAAGTAGAGTGCTTGCCTAACATGGGCTTGATCTCCAGCATTGACGGCACATGCCAGTGATCCCAGCACTCAGGAGATGGTGGAAGAAGAACCAGGAATTCAAGGTCATTCTTAGCTATGCACTAAGTTTGAGATCAGCCCGGGGCTACATGAGAACATGTCTCGGGAAATAAAAAACACATTTCTTCATTCAGTTCGTGTTTGCTAACATATCGCTCATGCTTTTTCTCCCTAAAAATTCTTCTTAAACTTTTCAAAAATGTTACATTAATTCAGAACTGGTTTAATTTATTTGCCCAGTTACAGACAATGGTCTGGCTTTATCATGGTCACTTTAAATTTTAAATCTGAGAGCTAAGCTAATTAAGAACATCCTTACCAAAGTTTTCTAAGTGATTTAGTTAAGTCTTATTGCAGCACATGTCTAATCGGTAAAGACTTGAGCATTCACTTAGGGCTTAAAACAACAACAAAAAGTGTTTCCATGAAGTGCCTGTTAATTGGAGACTAGAATAAAAGAGGCCTGCCTTTTTTGTTTCAATAGATTGCATTCGTTTTTGAAGGAAGAGTCCCTTGGCTGACAAATGAGAAGGCAGGATATTCTTTGTCACCTTGTGTGATCCTGAACTCTTGTGGAGATGGGTGTGAAAAGCCAGTTGAGAAACCTGTTTCTTCCATGGTAGAGTTAGGAAGTCATTAGTCATGGCAGGGTGGTGATTGTGCCCTAACACAACACTGCAGTGTTTACAGTGCTCACGTGAGCTTGTTTGCCAGTTTTCACAGTTTGACATTACAGCAACAAAAAACGATTGGGTGTGGAATCTATAGGCCCCAGACACCAATGACTAAAGGTGTTTCCCTCCCTGGTACTAACCAGCTAAACACGTTTCTGCTGACTGTAAAATCCCAGCAGATCTTTCTCAAATACCTGGCTCAAGTGACAGCGCTGGGTCGTTGTTGTTTTGGTGTGGGGGTGGGAAGTGGGGGGCTGGGGGGCTTAGGAATAGGGCATAGGGAAAATAATTAAGAGTGGAGAAGCCAGTACAACATGAAAGGGCTGCATTCTGATGCGCTAACTTGGGGACAACCAGCTGCTCCCTGTGTTTCAGTGGCTACTCATGTCAGAGTCTCATTCTCATGCATAGGCCTGCCTCAGCAGAAGTCTGAGCGTGACTCGAGACTATGCCTACTCTCAGAGCAGCAAAGTACAAGCCCAGGAACCTAAGAGTCCTCACAGCTGTCTGCACAGATACAGAGCCAAGGTGCCGCTCATAAGATGGTAAGGCCTGGGAAGCTGCATTTTAACAGGCACCTTCCCCAGGCCACCGGGCCATGCGAATGCTCAAATGTTTCTCAAAAACTATGGATGCTGAAACAGCATCTTTGTCCTTAGCCCAGGACCCCAGGGAGACGGGCAGAAATTACATTGAGCCTCTTGTTCCCCTCTCTAGGACTCCCCCTTTACTTTACAAGGGCCCCGAGCTGCCCTCTGCTCCATCCTTGGCTCTTGAAGTCAGAAGGACTGCTAGTTTATTTCCCAAAATGTGGGTTTCCTCCTCACTTCCCGGACTGGTGGCTAAAAGCTGTAGAAACTCCCTTTTCTAGTCCAGTTGTTGGCCCTTCCCTGAAGCACCCTGCTTTCCAGGCTGTTCACGTCGTCATTTCTTAATGCTGTTATGGATGAGGGGTTTGGTCCCAATGGGATCTCACTTTGCTGTGTTGGAGGATGAATCCCTGAGTGACCCTTCCCTCATGTCCCATCAGACCCGGCTTAGACAACAACTCACACTGCTGAAGGCCAGGCTTGCACCCTGTTTCCTCAATCACCTCCTGCCAGCCTGCCTTGACACATCTGGCAAGCTCTGGCCACTCCTACTGTTATCTAGACTTGGAATCAAGAAATAGCCAGTGCAGGGAGAACACTGTGGCAATAGGCTTGTGTCAAAAGGTGGTTTGCAGTCCACATCTTGTCAGGAGGCCACCATTTCTGCTTCACTCATCCATTTGGACCTGTTGGCTCTGGCTGTAGCTTTTGTTGGCCTGTTTCTCCAGGATTCTGCTCATCTTAGCATGGTGTTACTGTGGTCAGAATTGTGTTTCATTGTATCTGACAGGCCTCATGCTGTGGATTAAACTAGGCAAACAAAAGCAAATGGTTTAGAATTTGGGGAAATGCCCAATTCTTTGTAAACTGGGGCAATTGGGGCGGGGGACTTCTAACAACTTTGGATCACAAGACACCTCAATGTGCTGTTTCACTTGAAACCCCGGAGGGTCAACTATAATCGATGAACAAGCCAGGAAGTCGGCAATGCTTGAGGGATGGATTTTTTCAAACTTCTGCATTGCTGATGGGAGAAAAAAAAATTAAACAGGGTAGAACGACATAAAGTTAAGAGGCATGGAAAGGGAAGAGGCAATTTACCCAGAATGTGGAATGTGGGTTACGTTTCCAGTCGAGTCAGAACTTCCACACAGCTGATGAAAATCGAGACCGGTACAGAGACCTCAGAATTGTGTTGAACCAGCGGATCATGTTTGCCTGGGGCCAGAGAACAGATGTAACCTTTGAGTTTATCAGAGTCAACAACCCCTCTACCCCCAACCCTGAAAAATGTGCCTCATTTACCAGAGAAAACCCCATGAGAGAAACGGTAAGCCAGCTCATACACTTTTATTTAATACTTAAACTTTGCTTAGTCTTTGAACCGGATTGTAAACTTCGTACGGTCTGAGCACTGTGCCTTTATAAGACACAAATGCTATAGGTGCTGTGGTTTCCTCTCGGAGGAGCCCTTCCCCCATGCCCTACTGGACAAACTGTCCCATTTTTATTCTGCTTTGTGAGCCCAGGTCTGCTTCACACGGGGTCCTCCCGAAACTCTTTTCTGTAGTAAAACCAAGCTCCCAGTTTGCTGTGAATGGATGTCTCTGAGGGGGACAGTCCTCAGGCTACAGGTAGCTGCAGTTAGTTCATGGCCCCCTGAACCCCCTTCCCCCTCATGCCTAAGAGGTGATGCCCCTGAAAGCTGCCTGAACCCGACAGTCATGAGACGGACCCCAGCCCTGCACTGGTTTCCTTGCTGCCCAGAGGTGGGTGAAATGAGACCTGTGAGCCGAGAGTCAACATCACGTGACCTACC